CAATACCCTTGCGTCCCACGGTGGATGAAAACAAATAGATAATTGAAACAAATAATAGTTATAAACAATTACGTTGTATGAAAATGCTAGTTATTTACATTTATGCGTAAAAATTCCATGAATTATTCTCAGTATATACTCTGCTTATTTATAAAAGAGAGCAGTATATACCTAATAAATATATTATCAACAAATTCGTATGTTTGATACAAACGTAACGTTTCCTAACCTTTTTTTTAAGTAAGAAAAGTAAATAAAGCTTACCTCGGCAAAATAACAGAAATATTATATCGTATGTAACGTTCGCACAAATTGTTAGAATGGTTCACTTGGTTCCAATTGCACAATTGTCACACAAAAGATCGATTTAAAATTGGTTGTTTTATTTCAAATTAGTTATCCTACAATAGCAGACGGATCACTGCTGTTCGAATGAACTAACCGGCGTCCGGCGTGTCTCTCCCATCGGAGGACCGCGTGCATTTCAATGGATGAAAGTGTAAACTGAGGTTTTTGTATAACGCTCTCTCGCTTCTTCTTATGGGCGAGGTGGCGTAACGCGTCGTAAGTATAAGTTTTATTTAGTCGGTGGCGACTTCGCCTACTATTTTATTGTTAACTACAATTCTAAGATTCGAGGCTTTTCTATTTAATCATACGAATCAAGGAAGATTATTAAAAAAGACAACCTACTAAACTTTAATACGAAAACCGAAATTGGGCCGTAATACCTATTTAAAACAAAGAAATAAAACTCAATTTTGATGTTTTTAATTTTTTTTTTATTTTCTTCCAGAACCAGAGTAGTGAGCACAACCTAACATAACGAAAATGGTAACTATTTTCAGGGATAACCACTATTTAATTTATTGTATTGGTACAAATTAATCTTGATTTTTAACGATTACAACTTCTAAGCTATTTTACTACATACAAAATTGTTGGTGCCACACAAATACATTTTGATTAAATTCAAATTTTAAAATTGGAAGTTAAAATTTTTGTGAAGAGGCTTCGAAAAGATAGCATTACCTACATTTTTTTGGTTTTGAATTACATTTTGATAGAATACGGCTAGAATTTTCCAATAAATTTCGATTAAAATAAAAATGTGAAATCCCTCAAGACCGCTACTACCCCGGCTTATAAGATAATTTTATTTCTAATGAATTTACGGAGTTTCAAGAAAGAAAATAAATGATATCATTTGATATGAACTGTAACAACTATGCATGTAACCAAGGCTAGTTGATAGATAGCTATCGGTTACAAGCCCACTTGTTCCTTGAGCGGAGAGCATTCATTACAAGATTTTGAAATAACTACGGTATTTTTTTTAAATATATATGTTTTCAAACGTATGCTAGATAGCGACGTGTCCAAAACGTATAGGGAAAATGCTGCTCTGAGCCCAAAATAAAACTTTAAAACACAGAGTTGACTTATCATCCGCTGTTTGTGTAAATGTAAATATTTAAATATGTAATACTAACATTATTGATGAAAATTTCGTAAGCCACTCGCGGTGTAATTGCGGCTAACAATGTATTTAGTTCTTGTGGGGGGATGATACAACACCCGCTTCCAAATGACTTACACAGATTTCTGTTCACCTTTGTTTGATCAAATGGCTGTCAGAAATTCATGCAAGTGATTTTGCGAGTCCTTAATACGATATCAATAACATTTATGGTTGGAAACACTAACGCAATTCGAAACTCCAAGAAGATTATTGATATCGCATCATACAAAGTAATTTAGTCCGCAATGACATTGTGTTATTAAAAGTCCCCTAAAATAATGCCATTGCAAACTGTTTTGTTGTTCTTAACATTAAGTTTTAGAAACAACTTTTATCCGCAGATGTTTTGGATGCTAAGCCAATCAAGTGCATAGGTACATTACATTAGATTATTTGCTAATCAAACATAATATTATATGCAAACTTGACTATAACAATATTTTTTTAGATTTTCTTTTTTTTTCAAGTATTCTTTAGCGAATATTGTTAATAGAATAAGTACAATATTATGAAATTATGACAGCACAAAACAAAAACTGATGGTCTCAAAATATTACATGACATTAGAGAAATGAATTTAATTAATTGAATGAATTTTAAAATACCCAACCATACAAATGATACAATGGAATTATAACCATGACATTATAGTTCCCCTCGTCTGAAATATAAAGATGAAAATACTATAACAATACATTTTAAACAACTGAAAGATTCTACACATTAATTCCACAATATATTATGTATATACAATAATATAGCTCTTCAGATGCAAATCCTGCAATGACATTTTTTATACTTTTTTTAAAGATATATGACAAACAAGAAGTATATCACTACAGAAATTAAATAAATATATAAAACACGATAAAGTAGCAAGGTTCGCAATTTTATATGAAATGTTACTAGAGAATGGTGTAAATGAAATACATAAATATTTAATGGAGCTCTCATACATAGTTAACAGTGTTACTAGTTTTTTGAACGTTGGCACTAATGTAACTTTGTATGGTGACAGTTTAGAAATGTCTACAGGCCCCTACATAAAAAATGAAAATATAAAATATAACATATACATTTCCTATGCTTTACATAAACTATAATAAGTTACGCCTATATGAACTGTTACCATTCATATATGGAGTTGTAAATTATATTACAATTTAACACTGCTACTGTTTAAGATTCTGTCACACCTTTAACCAAAAACGATTTTGTAATATCATAACATGCCGGTGAAAGGACAATACGGGCATTCCCAGAATATTAAACAGTAGCTGCGAACATTATTATTAAAGACCACAATAAATCCAATTCATTACCGCACTAGAGGACTGGATCCTCGCCTAACATAGTCCAACTTCGTAGAAAACTTTACACTTCAATCATCACTAGTGGGCAGTCAGGGCCACCAATACCTTCAATGTCCTACTTTTACCTGGAGCGGCCAATCAATAAAACGACCGCGAATAAAACTTAAAGACGTATTGGACAAACCATTAAAATCATCCACTGTCTTTTAATAACGAATACCAACGACAGTTACCTATTATACATCTCTATATCGCTTCTAAACGAAATATAGGCATTGGAAACGTTTAAAATCGCAATGTACGCCATTTGCAATACTTGCAGTGCGCCCCTCAATCGGTCGTGATTTTTAAAATATTCATTAGAAATTTCGAAAGGCGACCACCGTGCAACTTACAAAACCTACGATCCTACTTGGACGACTCCAATGCCAAATAACAGATGCGCATGATGCACGCTTCGAAAAAAACCAAACCAAAAAAAACAATTTCTTTCTACAGTATAAATTTTAAACGAATTTCAGCTCTTCAGAAAACGTAAACGAAAAAAATACTAACAAAAATAATATACCTGTTCACCTACCTTTTATAATAACAAATAATTTTTTAAACATCTCTGGACGACATTATTGTAAGAATTATATTAGGATCGCCCGATGTGTTTGCTTTAAAATGCTCTCGTTTGTGACATATTCTATTATTTCTAAAATTCATTGATTGATATTTTACAAAAATTATTAAACAAAAAAATTCAGCAATTACAAATAAATATAAATAGACATTCTCATTAAAATGTACAAAATATCCTTCAAAGTCAAAAAAATGTGTGAATTAATTTTTTTATATAATCTCTTCCAATCGAGAGCATTTTATCAAACTTGCATACATATTTATACATATATAAATTTAAAAATCCCTACAAAGGAAACATTGAACTAAATTAACTTTACATTTTACTTCTTTCCCAAACAACTATAAGATATAAGATATTAAAAAATAAAAATATAAATTTCTTTGCAACCTTCCCCTAGTGGAATAATTTATATTTTTATTTTTTATTATAATAGATTTCCGCAAAGTAACGCCTGATTATATCAATTAGACGTAAGATATGTTAGCACACTTCTAGTTCTCTTCTCTTCAACTGTTGCAAACAGAACAATATAGGGGCTTCTTATTTATCCTACCATTCCTCCTGCAGACTTCTTCTTAACACCATTTATGTAATATATGAGAGAATCACTCTTAAGGGCCGTTGTTTCTATTTATTATGTAGCCTTGTTTAACGAAATGCATGCACGACAAAACAGGAGGATTCTTATGCTATACCTTTTAATAACTTTTCATAGATAAAGGGCTCTATATATACAAAGAATGCATGATTGCGGCAGAGGATATAATAATCGGTATAGAGGCTACCTTAACACTACATTCACATAATTGTTTTGAATGCAATGATTTTCACATTCTAGGATAGTAGAAGTACCTAGATACTTGATACAAGGTTATTAATTCTGAACACTGAATGCAGTGTTAAAATAGTCTCAATCGTAACAGGATAATGTTAAAGCGCTTAATGCTTCAAAAATACATGCAAGTTCGTAATAGACCTTAGATGAACTATTGTATGTTAAACAAGCTACTGACAAATTATATCATGATTTTCAAATAAAAGGAGTATATTATGCATTGTTGCATTTCCAATAGAAATTTGTCTTAAAATCAATATGATCTTAACTTTTAAGGTGTAAGAATGTAACTAGTTCTAATGTTAATTACACTAATATAATTTGTCAACAGCACTGAACAAATTGCACATAAGCGCATTTTAAGCCCATATGCACCAGTCCTGCTTATGATTGCAAAGAAAAAAAAACTTTAAAAGCTAATGTAGTAAACTAATTGAAGAGATCCTGCATAGCATAGTAGAAATCTGCTGATATAAATTAACTTTATGGGGGTCCTTATCTTTATGCAAGAAATTTGTAAAAAATATAACCATAAATTTCATTTCTCATGTAAAAAAATTTTAAAACAAGTTCATTTCATTTCTCAAAGAACATTTCATTCAACCAAAGACAAGGCAAAGGTGAGCTTTGTAAACATAGCGGGATGGCTGGTGCGTGTGGGCTCATAAGGGCTGTAACACACTGTGCGGTTGGAAACGGTCAGCGCGTGAGCGGGCGGTCGAGCGCCGCGGCGCAGCAGTGCAGGAAGCGCGCGTGCGGGTGCGAGCACACACCTGTGCAGCGCAGCGCAGCACTATGCCTCCGCTTCCGGTCTGCACTGACGAGCGTCTCGTCAACCACGTCTGGCGCGTTCGCATACTGCGCGTGCGCAGCGCTTATGTCCGCCAACAACTCCTCCCATTCGCGCGAGAGCTCGTCCCGCGGCGGCGCGACCGACGGCTCCGTATGAACGACGCACTCGCAGGCACTCTCCTCGCTCCAGATGCTGTGCATCGCACTTCGCATCTTCTTGGCGGCGCGGCCGCACTCCTCGCACGCCCAGGCGTCGGGCCGCTCCGTCTGCACACCGGCGTCGTGCTGGCGAACCGGGAAACGCAACCGAAACCCGGTGTCGTCGAAGTCCGGACACCGTTGCGCCGCCGTAAGATTCAGCCGGCCGTAGTCGATGCTCTTGGAACGGTACTCGAGGTAACGTTCCAGCGAGCTACCGATATAGACGCTGCCGGATTCGCTCCGCTGGATGTCGACCACGTCGAGGTCACCGCGGATGTCGAAGGTGTAGCCATCGGCGTATCGCGTTACTTCCGACTCCGATTCGCGCCGGATCGGTCGGAAATGCGTGCGAGAAGAAGTGAGCAGGTCTTCACGTTCAAGGGATGGGGAACGAGGTGGCTCTTCTATTAGTAGCGGTTCGACAGGAAGTTGAGGTTCACGGCTGCGCCTCCGAGGAGGAACCTCTACAAAACTGCTACAGTCTCGGCTGTGATTGATCACGGTGAACGAACGCATCGTCTGCGCAACAGTCGATAGCGCATCATACAACTCCTCACTTTCATACAATGTGAAGGACTCAAGCTCACGAGGTGGCATTGGCTCTGCTGTATCACTTAAGTTCAACGGCTTGAAGCGGTCATGGAGCGCATCCGCTATCTTTGAAGGCGAATCGGCACGCTCTACTAACAAACTCTCCGTAGCATCTGTTGACCAGATGCTCTCTGTCAGAGAAATCAAACTGTACTTTTCAGTGGACGGATCTGCAAAGAGGTGGTCTGAGGGTGATGACAGCAAATCTTGAAAATCAATTGGAAGGTCTTGGTACTCATCATCAGGTGTGTTCTGGTCTTTTGACCACAATGCTTCAATGCTCCGATCAAACTTTGCTTCAAACTTTGCGTACAATTCTTCCTCCATTGGGGACCGTACTCGAGGATTAAGGTCTTCTGTTATCACCCACTCCGTAGCCAAATCAAGACTATCATCCCAGTCTGGCACCACATTATCTTTCATTTGGAGCTTGACTTCAGTTATCTCTTTTATTTCATCAGTGACTGTATTTTCACAAGTACCATAACCTTCATCCAATGCAATAGCTCTTATAAACTCCTTAACTGGATCCTGGGTTTCCATATCCCAAACTCCCTCATGTGTCACCCACTCAGGAAGACTCTCCTTGCTCTCAAATGATTTACTGTAACTGTTCCACCGTTTCCTGTTATTCTTCCTCTGATTGTGGTAGGAGTTGCGCCTTTCCTTCCCTGTCGAGTACTTCTTGTTTTTAGAATTCCAATCTTTTGACATTGAGATTTCACTTTGCATCTTGACCTTCGTTTCAGTACTTGGTTTACGACACCACGCTGGTGGTGGCAAATAGTATTGCAATGGTGACTCCTGACCTTTTTTCAAAGCCGGAAAAGCAGCGTAATATCGACGTACTGCTTCACTTTGTTCTAAAGAACACGTGGGCATGCCTACTACTGCAGTACTTTCTTTATCTTTGATGTCATGTAGTCTTGTGCAGAGCTGATCAACAATGTTATCCAGATTAGTTCCCTGTAAAAGACAAAATAAAATATTATAGAAACTAGGAGAAAATTAATTTACAATAAAAACAATAACTAAAGACTGTTACAATTAACAACTACAAGAAAAATTATGAAAATTTTATAATACTGAGGAAGAGGTCTACATTAAGTAGCATGAAATGAATAAAAATTAGTTTTATAACTTCATACAATATCTACATATTAGGTTCTAATTAATGAATTGCTATATTTATGTTAATACCACTATATAAAATTATAAATACAATTATGTAAATAAATCATTATATGCAGGCTCCAACAATGGAATAAAAAGAGGTATGCATTTACTGTGCAGAAAAATAATGGGGCCAATAAACAATATTTCAAGTGCAGTATTTCACAGGCAACATTATGATTTAGTTTACAATGGCATATGTTGCATATGAATATCACTTAACAGTGCAATTCACAAAAGCAGTTTAAGACCGACCTTTCCATAGGGATTCTTTACATTGTCAACAGTCTTCATTTTAACATTCCCAGTTTTACAGTCACTTTCCAGAATAACTGAGCACTGCATATCCTCTTGAGAGGGGGCACAAAACAATTCATTAGTATCAACTAAAGTTAGTCTTCTATTTATTAACAAGTAATGAATAATTTTGAAATTTACTACTATTTATACACAGCTAAGTGAAATTTGTTCTATCATCCAGCTAACTGAAATTTGTTCTATCATCAATCAGTTGTTTGATAAACAAATAAATTTAGTTATGTACTTAAAACATGATTAATCATATCTAAAACTAAACCATAAGTAAAGTAAAGTTACAGCCTATATACGTCCCACTGCTGGGCACAGGCCTCCCCTCATTTCTGAGATGGTTTTTAGGGCAAGGAAGTGTCCGCCACGCTGCCCCAATGCGCATTGGCGAACTTCACATGTATAATGAGAAATTATTTTGAAATGAAAATTTTTTTTTCTTATTCGTCAGACATGCAGGTTTTCTCACAATGTTTTCCTTCATGATGATGTGGTAATTTAGCACTTAAAATTGCAATGAACAATTTCATTGGTGCCGGCAGGGATCGAACCCGGGTTACGCACATACTGTTATATTTACAACGAGCGTTAATCATCTGAGCTACCACAGTTTTTCCAAGCTACCACTAAACCAAATCTAATCTAAAACCAAACCAAAAATTTGATTACAATTCTACTGTTGATATGTTCTTTTAATGTTTAAAAATAGAAACCCAGTAATTTATAGGCAGAAACAAATTAAGTATTTCATTGTCATGATAATCATGTAATTTTAAAAAGCATTTTGTATATTTATCTTTATGTCTATTTTGCAGACTTAAAAAATGATAAATTAATCTTGAAATGTGACCAATATTTAAAAAAATCTTGCAATAAGTTAAAAAAGATGACAATAAAACAGTGGTTAGAGATTCATGATTATCATTATATTATTTCTCTTAACATTTTTACCTTTAGTACCATATTCCATGGTTTTAAAAAATCACTTCTAAAAAATATAAGTTTCAACAACTTTTTGTATAAAATATCTAACAAAAATATTGTACAATACCTAACTATAAACAGCATTATTATAACCTTTCCTATTCAGTCTGCAATTTCACAAAAATGTTCCATGGAAATATGCAAACTAAAATGTAGTGTGAAATTTGACAGCAAATGTCAAATTACACAAAGAATGTGGTGTCACAACTAAGAGATTTCTGTATTTAGATGGACTATTCTTAAACCATAATTTAAACCTGAGACCACCACAGAAAAATTTATAAGAGAAAACTAGATTAAAGGACATATATATTATCTTTTTTTTTTATTCATCAGTCTAACAAAAGTCCACTGCTGAACATATGGTTTCCCCATAGATTGTCTTAAAGGATAGTTGCCACTTTTTACAGGCTGATTGGTAGCAACATTCTTCCATCTTCTGTCTCAGTATCTCACTGTCATCTCTTACGACACCCACAGAATAATGTAGGGGTAGTGGATTATCATATGCCCGCACTATATGGATTACCAAATAAGAACACATAATTAGAAATAAAGCGGGTCTTATAAAGATAACTAAAGAATAGACTTGCAACAAATATACAGCTATTATTTGGTGTTCGGCCTATTTGGTATGCGGCCTGTTCAGTATTTAGCCTATTCAACTACTTTTATCCTTTTTGGTTGAATACTGAATATATAGGTAGTATTTGACAGAATACTTGAAATGTTTTGTTGTAGTCAGATGATTGATAAAATGAGAATATTGATTTATTTTATAATAATGTATTATTCCTGTAATCATTTGTCGCCATAGTAACAATCAACTTCTGTATTATTAAAAAAAAACTATCAGATCAATGTCTATGCAGTTGAACTATATTAATTAAAGGGGAAGATTATGGTGCAGTTAGACAATTTTTTTTGCATTTACACTGCTTTTCTTATAGGCAATCCCAGCTGCAAAGAATAGACGCTCTGAATAAACACTACTTCCTTCCCATTTTTAATACTTTTGCCTAATATTCAGATAGGAAGCCCGCAGGCTATTTAGTATTCAGAATGTGGGCAAATATACTATTTGTTGCCAGTCTACTAAAGAAGCATATTCAATATCCTGATATCAGATTAATGTCACCAATTCGATAAATTATATGGTAATATAATATCCATTCATATTATAACATGAAACTGTTTAGACAGTTATAGCCAAAACTTCCATCGAGGGAAAATATGTCCAACTTTGAACTGTTTGCATTCCAATGATAAGTTTAAACTTTTTATTTACCTGTCCTTAATGTGCGGGGTATCAGATGATGAAACGCGAAGTTTGGTGCAGCTCCCTCGACGTGGCAGGCCAGCAGGCGTACGCCTGGCTCCCTTTTTTATGTTTACGCATCCTGCCCGGTACAATCACTAACGTTATCAAACACCAACATCATATTTATTAATCGAGTATCCATTTTTCATTTGCCTTAGGTCGTGTTATTAATTGATCCTTCAGGATGCTTCCGTATTAATAATACATTCTTAATTTCTTTGGCGTATTTTTTGCTAGTTTAGCATAAGGCAACGAATTTCAATTTAGTTGGTTATAAGCGCTCGCATTGTCACTAGCTTATGACGAATGACGCACTTCGTGCATCCCTTACTTCTGCAAAAGCAAATTTTATTTATTTATAACAATATCACGTGTTGTTTAGTTACATAGTTTACTATGACTTGCAAGGATACAAAGAATTTCATGGAAACCAATACCCGCACCGTCGCGATTAATGGGTCGATGGCGCCAAATAAACGTCACTCCGACGAGGGTGAGACATCATTTATGGAGCCTTATAGTATATAAAGATTTGTTTCAAGATCGTTTCTCAGATACAGACAAAGAAAACCCTTAGTAAACATTAGTAATTTACACCATTTTGCTTTGTATTGATAAATACTTAGAGGATACAAACTAAAACGATGCAATTTCATAAGAATGAGTTAATATTACATGATACACTTTTACTAAGGTAAGGACGCTTTGTGTTTCCGCGTTGGCACTACAAATATAAACCGAAAATAGTAAAAACTTACCTGCAACAGTTTATGTGTGGAAATTATCATGATAAATCTATACACACACACCCCACATCCACATGAAAAAAAACATGGCAGCCGGAATGAGTGAGAGTTAAAAATTATTTTGCGCAACGCCGTCAAGACTGAAATGACGTCTCGTTATTGACCAATCACATGCTTTCGATTTTCAAATTTATCAAAGATGGCCGACAGTATGCCCGTGATTTCGATATTAAAATTTTTACAGATAATGGGTGCGTTTGGCAGAAAAAAGCGCTAGCAAGCGCTTACAAGCGCTGAAATAGTTTTCGGCCAGGACACGATTGCTACTTCAGTAGCGCTGACACAATCCGCCATTTTGCTTATTTAATTTGTTTGTTTTGATGTAGAGTTTATAAGTTTTTTTGCAATATTAGTTTTAAGTAATATAATAACATGAATAAACATATACATGTTATTAAAAATTCATAATTGGTAAGTTTTTAATATGAATACTTTACAAACATATATTTAAATTAGGTTAGGTTTCCCGGTTAAAACTAACATCGTGTCCTGGAGGAAAATAGCTACTTACGATTTGACAGCGCTTACCGCCTACGATCGCCATTTTGCTTACAAGCGCTTGCTAGCGCTTTTTTCTGCCAAACGCACCCAATGATTCGCTCAAATGTATGCCTTCGAATCTATTGGACGACGACGAAAAACGACAACCAATGATCATCTCTATTAAAACCGGATATAACAAAATATCGCGCCAAAATTTACCGCCAAATTTGAATAAAACCTATTCTATATTTTGAAATTGAAAGAACAATAAGAGTGTTTATTCATAGTTGAGTTTATTCATTTAGTAGGTAAATAAGAAAGCTTATTTGCCTTTAACATTTCTTTATATACAACTGTTTTGTTGCTGGCAAACTGACTTACAATTTGGCAAAATTTTTAAGAATAAATCATTGAAGTAATATGTACTTACGTACTAGAACAGCTATCTCAAACAAAATGTGCGCTACTCTGTGTTCGCGCGGTTGTTTTTTTTTGTATCATAGAATAAACATAGGTAGTATGATCAGTAGGTAATAGTAGATAATATTGTTAAATAGGTAAATTATATAGAGAACAATTTTCAAATTTTGTCATTTATTCGTATATTATATTTGCTTATTATTATATTAATATTACTTAATATTATATCACAATTACATTTTAATGATATTTTCATCTGAATATTTTAAAGGGTATCTATGTCAAATATAAAAAAACATACTAAATGTATGTTTAACAAAACTTATTAATATAACATTTAAATTACAAATATATTTATTTAAATTAGAATAAGAGTCGTTCATAAATGCTGGGCACGCGAGAGTTAAAAATGAACGAATTTATTCCACTTTGACTTTGATGTGGAAACCTAAAAATAAAATAAAAGTATAATGATCAGATTTAAATATAAAAAAATTAGCCTAATTATGATAACTCATATATTTTTCTACAAAAAAATCTCTATAATAATATATTCGTCCTATACTTAAGTAGCCACAGAAATGTAGCATCTGAACAAATTAATTTCATGATCTATATTACATGACACGAGATGGCGTCTTAGGTATAATTTGTTTTATTATTAATCTATAATACTTTTTTATTGATTAAGTATCTTATTAACCGATAAAAAGTAATTCCTTGGTTTTTACTGACATTTCTTGAATTATTTGTGCAATATCTCGTACACACGATGGCATATTTTTATTAAGAGATTTTTTTTTAAATCAACACAACACGTGACAACTCTTCAAGCGCCTAGCGAGTGACTGATTAAAGTGCGGTGTATGCACCGCAGTTGAGTGGAACAGAGTAGCTGAATGCAGTGTCACCTCTAGTACGTAGTACATAATAGCTCAATGGAATAAATAAATAAAAATAAAAAGCATAAATAAATGCGAAATGTGGTTCAGGCTCAAATGCGAACATGCTAACCCAAATTA